TCGCTTAATAAAATAATGGTTCTGTTGAGACTTCGGTATTCTCTTGTAGTTTTGTTACTTAAATATAAATGTATTTGGCATTTTTATAACAACATCGGTTGCTACATTTGTATGTCTGCACGGTATCGTGATATTTTGTAAATTATGAATATGACTATAAATAGCCATCCCAAGAAAGTGCGGTTTACATCTTTACATGACTTAAACTTCTCAAATTTAAATCGAATTCTAAAGCATCTATCTCTTACTTGTTTTATCATCATTCAACAGATAAGTGAAAACACGTAGAGCCTGCTAGTGTAGAGAGACTACTTGGCGCATTACCCCTGGCTTTCACCATTACACACATTTTCTTACTCGAATTTACATAGAATAATTGAATAGAATAGAAAATAATAGCATAAAAGTTTTGTTTTGAATTTGCTGGGATTTAACATCCATGCACTGGTCTTCTTAAGTTCCAGATACATTTCGACGAAAAATATTTAGTGAGTTCAAAATCGCTATGTAAAAGTTTGACTTTCTGGACCGAAGCCAAGGCCGAAAATAAGGTCAAAGTTCAAACCATGTACTGTCTTAATTTTAATATGTTGAGGAAGTGGGCTAATTGAAGTTACTTATTGTAGCCTGATTTGTTTCCGGAATTCTGAGATGATTGGCCGTATTGTTTACATTGACCTCATGACAGCAATGGAAATAAAGTTGCGTCGAAAATGAGTGACTTCAAAATCATTGATTATTTTTAAATTAATTTAATGATGAATTTAGTAGGTCTAGAGACAAATTAATCATGAAATTAGTTGTTATAGGTAATCATAAGTATCTCTCGAAACGCATATAGAAAATATATAAAAGAATATGTTTAGAAGGTTGGGTTTTTTTGGGGTTTTTTTTCTTAAAGTTCAAGTTCTCTAATTAATTGGAGTCAAATTGTAGGCTAGTGAATGATAGATTGTTTTGAAAATTATACACAGTACTACTGGGTTTTTTGGGTGTTTTTTTTTTAAATAATGATGTTCTAATTAGTAGATAATAGTTTACAATCAATGATCCAAAACATGTGAAAGGATTTTAAATTTAACAGTCATTTAATTTAACCTAGATGTTATAATAACCCCATTGTTAGAAGGCATATGTTACCATATCTATACACCAGCTGTGTCAACTAATACGTAGATCGTTACCAAACTTACACATGGATAAGGTCAGTTTCTATTTGAGATATCAGAATGACATATTTCCATTACCTATGAAAATGTCATATTTACCTATCCACAGCATGCTTTTATATCCGTATATCCTATTTCACCGACCACTTCCCTAAACGTTATATACATCAATTAACCAATCATGCAACTACACTTAAGGTTAACAGATATATTAATTCAATAACTACACAACTACGCTTCAGGAAGACATATCAATATATAAATAGCTACACAACTACACTTTAGTGAATACAGATACATTATTTCAATAACAAAAAAACTTAACAATAAGAATACAGATACATTATTTCATTAACAAAACAACTACACTTTATTGAATACAGATACATTATTTCATTAACAAAACAACTACACTTTAGTGAATCCAGATACATTATTTCAATAACAAAACAACTACTCTGTAGTGAATACAGATACATTATTTCCATAACAAAACAACTACACTTCAGGAATACAGATACATTATTTCAATACCAAAACAACTACACCTTAGTGAATACAGATACATTATTTCAATACCAAAACAACTACACCTTAGTGAATACAGATACATTATTTCCATAACAAAACAACTACACTTCAGTGAATACAGATACATTATTGCAATAACAAAACAACTACACTTTATTGAATACAGGTACATTATTTCAATAACAAAAAAACTTAACAATAAGAATACAGATACATTATTTCATTAACAAAACAACTACACTTTATTGAATACAGATACATTATTTCCATAACAAAACAACTACACTTCAGGAATACAGATACATTATTTCAATACCAAAACAACTACACCTTAGTGAATACAGATACATTATTGCAATAACAAAACAACTACACTTCGGGAATACAGATACATTATTTCATTAACAAAACAACTACACTTTAGCGAATACAGATACATTATTTCATTAACAAAACAACTACACTTTAGGAATACAGATACATTATTTCATTAACAAAACAACTACACTTTATTGAATACAGATACATTATTCCAATAACAAAACAACTACACTTCGGGAATACAGATACATTATTTCATTAACAAAACAACTACACTTTATTGAATACAGATACATTATTTCCATAACAAAACAACTACACTTCGGGAATACAGATACATTATTTCATTAACAAAACAACTACACTTTAGCGAATACAGATACATTATTTCAATAAAAAAACAACTACACTTCAGGAATACAGATACATTATTTCAATACCAAAACAACTACACCTTAGTGAATACAGATACATTATTTCCATAACAAAACAACTACACTTCAGTGAATACAGATACATTATTGCAATAACAAAACAACTACACTTTATTGAATACAGATACATTATTCCAATAACAAAACAACTACACTTCAGTGAATACAGATACATTATTTCCATAACAAAACAACTACACTTCAGTGAATACAGATACATTATTTCCATAACAAAACAACTACACTTCGGGAATACAGATACATTATTTCATTAACAAAACAACTACACTTTATTGAATACAGATACATTATTTCATTAACAAAACAACTACACTTTATTGAATACAGGTACATTATTTCAATAACAAAACAACTGCACTTTAGTGAATACAGATACATCATTTCAATAACAAAACAACTACGCTTTAGTGAATACAGATACATTATTTCCATAACAAAACAACTACACTTCGGGAATACAGATACATTATTTCAATAACAAAAAAACTTAACAATAAGAATACAGATACATTATTTCAATACCAAAACAACTACACCTTAGTGAATACAGATACATTATTTCATTAACAAAACAACTACACTTTAGCGAATACAGATACATTATTTCATTAACAAAACAACTACACTTTAGCGAATACAGATACATTATTTCATTAACAAAACAACTACACTTTAGTGAATACAGAGACATTATTTCAATAACAAAACAACTGCACTTTAGTGAATACAGATACATTATTTCCATAACAAAACAACTACACTTCGGGAATACAGATACATTATTTCATTAACAAAACAACTACACTTTAGCGAATACAGATACATTATTTCATTAACAAAACAACTACACTTTAGGAATACAGATACATTATTTCAATAACAAAACAACGACACTTCAGGAATACAGATACATTATTTCAATAATAAAACAACGGCAATTTAGGAATACACATGTATTATTTTATTAACTACACAACAACACTCCAGGTATACCGATAGTATTATTTAAATAACTACACAACATAAACATCGGAGATGCATCCCCATTTGTTATGGAGGGGGAGGGGGAAGGGAGATAAGTCTGTATTTCCCTTATGTAGTTTTTTTTGTTAACGTAGATTTAACCTAGATTAATATGGTGAGTGTCGCCAATGAAGACGCTTCCCTTCTTGGGCACTTGACTCTATTCTATTAATTCCTACTTTTCCTAAGGATTTTGGGTAAATATATCCTTTATTCATATTTTTCGACAACGAGTTTGAATTACGGGTTTGGTCAATCTTTAGTATATACAACACAGGGGCGATATATCTTATAACCTTCATCCACACAATTACAGATACAGATATGCTAGTTCACAAACCATATATTTATATGCTAGTTCACAAACCATACATTTACATGCTATTTCACAAACCAGCTATACGTCATCTGTGTATATAACCTATTTTTCTACCGCTCAATCACGTATATTTATCGGTTAATAAATTGCCAAATATTCCCTACTCACACTTACAAGATGAAAAATTCATAACAAAATAACAAAAGACTGATGATTGATTTTTAATGGAATCATTGTGTGGTGCTATCCCACTGGTCTGGCATACTATTTCGATAATGGGTTCATCAGTCAATGTATGACAGAAAACAGCTTTACCGTGCCCGTAGATCTTCATAGGAATGGTAAATCTAATTAACGGGGAGATTTGGACTATATTTTGCGCAGAATTGCCAATAAAAAATATTTAATATTTCTATACAGTTCAACGTAATAAAGCTTTAACCAACCAAACCAGTTGTCTACGTGATTCTGTCAAGCGTAACCAATGCTATTATGTTCTTTTTTGTCAACCATTACCATGTAGATATCTTGTTTTATCATGCACACAATCACATTAAATATTTTTGTCCATCGCAGAATTGCATCAACTATGCGAATATTTTTATCCACTGAACACTTACACCAATTTAGTGGATATTCGTATTACATCACCTATCGGCATATCCTTTTTATCCACCACAGAATTAAATGAAATTTGAAATTAACAGTGCATGTATTCTACTTTATCAAATATGCAATAAGTCACCTGAACAATGAAATTATTTTTTTTGTTAATGAACTAGCAACTATCCAATACTCGCACTTACTCATGAGCTGAAACATTGATAGTCATACAAAAGAAAGTAGATTGCTGTTTAATGGAAGAGCGATATCGATTTGGTGTAAATACTTCGATGGTTTTGCAGTCAATACATGACAGAAAAAAGTATTACCTGTCGATACATCCTGTAATCCTGGGATTACGACGTTACAATGCACTGCAATAGAATATCCAATTAACAAGGATGTCGAAGTAACAACATCGATTTCAACAATATATTCGCAACACAGCCACTAAAAACGATTTAATGTGTATGTACAGTTCCGCACCAAAAAGCTTCAGTCACCCCGTACTGTCATCGACATCGTGAATATTGACGGATGTAAGACTTGTTCGTTTAGATGTATGGTCATTGTACTTACCTAATCGCAGAAACTCCGACCGTCCGAAATTTCCTAGTAGGCAACTTGTGACTGTAAAAAAAAGAAAACTCCATTCACATGCGCCGGGCTTTTCAAACAACATCGTCAGTTATATCGTACTTCCTAATCAAAGTGTTAGTCTACATCACCCATCAGAGATTAGCAGCACTCTATTATGGTTGATTTACATCTCCCCGTAATGGTCAGATTAACAGCACTTTTCCTTGGTCACACAACCTGAACACCTGTCACACACCATGGTGATATTGACCGCTTGGGACGAAGGTTTATACTAACTCGACCACACAGCGTAGTTCGGTTAGCGTTGGTACACGGCAGTAATAGGACTTTAGCACGTGAGCCAGATTCTCCCTCTACACCTACGACCTCTACACCTACGACCTCTACAGTATCTGCAATTAAGTATTTCTCCAGCTGATCACACAGGTTTAACATTAGCCACATTAGACCGGAGATGATGATATTTTACAGTTATGCAGGCATAGCTATGTCAAACAAGGTGCAGCCTATAACGGAGCCGACTGAATAATTGATCTGTTCCGAACGTCAATAACTTAGAAACATATTAGGTAACATATTCAATTTGATCCATCTACCAATCTACCAAGGTATGGTAATTACTCTGTTTGATAATGATCAGTCTAAATAGCAAACAATTGGTTTTTTTTCATTTCCATTTTTAGATGCAAAACGATAACGTATTTTTTGGCGGATAACGAGCTTATTCAGGTCAGTGTGTTGCATGAACAATAACAGGTCCGGATCACAATGTCAACGGTATCTGTTTTCTAGCTACTAACTACTCTCATCTTTATTCAAATATCCTTTACACAGAGTTGTTTATTATCGTTATCACCAAGACGTATTATGTCCTTTACACAAAGCTGCATAAAAGCTCGAAGACTTTGTTTGAATAGCGATGGGGCTTCTATTTGATTGCTATAGTCTTATACACTCTACCAGGTATGTAATCGTTTGATGACAATCTGAGTTTACGGACCGTTCACTAGTTTATTCACAAATATATTTGTTGTTTTGTGGCTGTAATAAACATTAACTGTAACTTTCATAACTGAGTATGTCATTCGGGTGGAAACAAATATCAAAGGACCGATCGAGGACAAAAGTTACAGGGTCATCATCGGACAAATACAACAAGGTCATCACAGGATAAATACCACAGGGTCATCACAGTATAAATACCACAGGGTCATCACAGGATAAATACCACAGGGTCATCACAGGACAAATAACCCGGGGCCATCACAGGATAAATACCACGGGGTCATCACAGAATAAATACCACGGGGTCATCACAGGATAAATACCACGGTGTCATCACAGGATAAACACCCCGGGGTCATCACAGGACAAATAACACAGGGTCATCACAGGACAAATACCACAGGGTCATCACAGGACAAATAACACAGGGTCATCAAAGGATAAATACCACGGGGTCATCACAGGATAAATCCCACAGGGTCATCCCAGGATAAATACCACAGGGTCATCACAGGATAAATACCACAGGGTCATCACAGTATAAATACCACAGGGTCATCACAGGACAAATACCACAGGGTCATCACAGGATAAATCCCACGGGGTCATCACAGGACAAATAACACAGGGTCATCACAGGAAAAATAACACAGGGTCATCACAGGATAAATACCACAGGGTCATCACAGGATAAATACCACGGGGTCATCACAGGATAAATACCACAGGGTCATCACAAGACAAATAACACAGGGTCATCAAAGGACAAATAACACAGGGTCATCACAGGATAAATACCACGGGGTCATCACAGGGAGTAATACCAAAGGGTCATCACAGGATAAATACCACTGGGTCATCACAGGATAAATACCACTGGGTTATCACAGGATAAATACCACTGGGTCATCACAGGGAGTAATACCAAAGGGTTATGAAGGAAGTAATACTAAAGGGTCATCACAGGACAAATACCATAAGGTAATCACAGGACAAATACCATTAGAGCATCACAGGTAGGATTACCAAAGGGTCATCACAGGAACAAATATCAAAGTGTCATCACAGGGAAAATACCACAGGGTCAACACAGGACAAATACCAGAGGGTTATCACATGACAAATACCAGAGGGTTATCACATGACAAAAAGCGCAGGGTCATAACAGGACAAATACCACAGTACAAATAACACCGAGTTATAACAGAGTGACAGACCAGCAAAAGGAAATATCAAAGTATAAAGAAGAACTTTTAAACCCCTACAAAATTACGGATAAAACACCGATCAACCGTCTTGTCGAAATGTAAAACGAAACATAGGTATTTAAAAAAATAGATGTTGAAATTGTACCCACGCCTGATACAAGGAGAATATCTAGAGTACATTTTGCTTCGTAAATACTCGCAAAGCTTTCAGCTTCTATAGTCTTCCATATTCCCACATATCTGTACTTGAAAGTCAAAAGCAATAGAGTATTATTTATAGAAAACGCACAGTCATCAATAGATTTACATATAAATGTATATATATAACATTTAATAAGGTTATCAAAAAGCGTCGGCCGTTGTGGTTGTGGTTTTGTAGGCGATATTAATGATCTATCCCAATACGAGGATATACAACACTAGAAAGAATCCCCAATAGCACGCATTGTTGTATGATTTACATGACTACAGCCGGCTTTTATTGGAAGTCTCAAGAGACAAAGTTTTTAATTTAGATATGTCGCTAAAAAGGTCAATTGACTGTAAGAGATGTCTGACACACGACAACGGAGTGGGATAAATGACCCGGAGCGAGTCCTGGCAAGCTTCATTACTTCAGTTATACATTATTAATAACATAATTTAGTGTTCAGAATATCATAGCATTAGCCCTTATCTGTCATCAACGTATGCTGTTTTGATGAAACTAATATCATAATTATATCCCAATCACATGTTTACTGTAAACAACTTAATAATCTGTGAATCTTGTTGACAGAAAACTGGTATCGTTGGCTATTTGGGAAGATGTTTTCTCCTGAAATATGAACCAGTATTATTATTCTGAAAGTGTTCCTCAATAAAACCTGTCATAACTAGCTAACGAAGCGTTGAGTTGACGTATACAACCTACCCTACCTTACCTTACGACAATAGTACAGTCATTTGTTACATAGACTAGACCTAAAGTGTTGTCATTCAGTGCTTTCTCTGTGACGTAATAGTTACGACCAAGTCCATAGTCACTATCTAGGGTTTACATAGACTAGACCTAAGTGTTGTCTTTCAATGTTTTCTCTGTGACGTAATAGTTACGACCAAGCCCATAGTCACTATATAGGGTTTACATGGACTAGACCTAAGTGTTGTCAGTCATTGCTTTCTCTGTGACGTAATAGTTACGACCAAGCCCATAGTCACTACATAGGGTTTACATGGACTAGACCTAAGTGTTGTCAGTCATTGCTTTCTCTGTGACGTAATTGTTAGGACCAAGTCCATAGTCACTATATAGGGTTTAAATGGATTAGACCTAAAGTGTTGTCATTCATTGCTTTCTCTGTGACGTAATAGTTACGACCAAGTCCATAGTCACTATATAGGGTTTAAATGGATTAGACCTAAAGTGTTGTCATTCATTGCTTTCTCTGTGACGTAATAGTTACGACCAAGGCCATAGTCACTATATAGGGTTTAAATGGATTAGACCTAAGGTGTTGTCATTCATTGCTTTCTCTGTGACGTATTAGTTACGACCAAGTCCATAGTCACTATACAGGGTTTAAATGGACTAGACCTAAAGTGCTGTCATTCAGTGTTTTCTCTGTGACGTAATAGTGACGACCAAGCCCATAGTCACTATATAGGGTTTACATAGACTAGACCTAAGTGTTGTCATTCAGTGTTTTCTCTGTGACGTAATAGTTACGACCAAGCCCATAGTCACTATATAGGGTTTACATATACTAGACCTAAGTGTTGTCAGTCATTGCTTTCTCTGTGACGTAATAGTTACGACCAAGTCCATAGTCACTATATAGGGTTTAAATGGACTAGACCTAAGTGTTGTCAGTCATTGCTTTCTCTGTGACGTAATAGTTACGACCAAGTCCATAGTCACTATATAGGGTTAACATAGACTAGACCTAAGTGTTGTCATTCAGTGTTTTCTCTGTGACGTAATAGTTACGACCAAGTCCATAGTCACTATATAGGGTTTAAATGGACTAGACCTAAGTGTTGTCATTCATTGCTTTCTCTGTGACGTAATAGTTACGACCAAGTCCATAGTCACTATATAGGGTTAACATAGACTAGACCTAAGTGTTGTCATTCAGTGTTTTCTCTGTGACGTAATAGTTACGACCAAGTCCATAGTCACTATATAGGGTTTAAATGGACTAGACCTAAGTGTTGTCATTCATTGCTTTCTCTGTGACGTAATAGTTACGACCAAGTCCATAGTCACTATATAGGGTTTAAATGGACTAGACCTAAGTGTTGTCAGTCATTGCTTTCTCTGTGACGTAATAGTTACGACCAAGTCCATAGTCACTATATAGGGTTAACATAGACTAGACCTAAAGTGTTGTCAGTCAGTGTTTTCTCTGTGACGTAATAGTTACGACCAAGTCCATAGTCACTATATAGGGTTTACATGGACTAGACCTAAGTGTTGTCATTCAGTGTTTTCTCTGTGACGTAATAGTCACTATATAGGGTTTACGTTTCTCACCCAGCTTGTCACTTGAGTTTAACATAATTTACTTTGCCGAGTTTTCAATTTACCTGAGTCCATGTGTATGAATCAATCGTTAAATGTATGTAAAACAAACATGTTGTATCTTCAATTAGAAACATAAAGTTGGCAATGTAATATATTAAAATATTAACGAAATGATGTTCAACATATTGTATTATACTATTATTATTTGAGTATATTGTGAACGTGAAAGTATCATATAAAAAATGAAGGTAATAAGAATGCTTCATTTAAAAATTACTTTTGAGAAAGATAAATCTTAATAAAGTTAAAGA